GGGGAGCCTGCTTCTCCCTCTGCCTGCCACTCCCTCTGCTTGTGCTCTCTCTCTCTCTCTGGCAAATAAATAAAATCTTTAAAAAAAAAAACAAAACATGGCAGAAATGAAAAGGACCTAAAATTCAGCTAAGTCAACCCACTGAGAGGGGCTATTGATGGATGCAAGAGTTGAGCACTTCATTTCAACAGGAGTCTCCAATTATATTCATCCTATGTTGTACCCTTCTGTGTAAGATTTGTTTTAATGAAAATTTCCCTCCTAGGGATGTGTGCAAGTGTGCAAAGATATATAAGAGAATCTTCACTGAAGCATTATTTGTAATCAGGAAATACTGGAAACAACCTAAATGTCCATCACTAGGATAATGGATAAATTACAGTCTAGTTATTTAATGGCATAATGTACAGCAGAGAAAATGAACTAGAACTATGTATATGCACACAGATATATTTCAAATAGATAATGCTGAGATTTAAAATACAAATTGGATACATAGATATATCACTTATTTGAAGTTTAAACTATTAAATGCTGTCCATTATCTTAGACTATATATGTGTAGTTAAAGCATAAAAACACGAATATGAGTGATGCATGTCAATTTCAGAGATTTCCCCTCTTCTTAGGGGAAGGGGATTGAGTATATCAGGGGTTACAGGGGTATCTGCACCATTTCATTTTTTTAATATGGTGGTATATAGGTGAGTGTTTGCCTTTCAGTATAAATTTTATGTGTCTGAAATATTTCATTTTAATACTTTTAAAAAGAAAGGGTTCTGCTGATTTTAAAAAGGTTTGAAAGCCAATGAACTAGGAAGGGGTGGCTGAGGAATGCTGATACTCAAAGTTACAACAGTCTCCAAGCAGGCCTCTGCAACCCCCTCCAGGCTATCCTTCAAAAGCCCATCCTGCCTTCTGGAATAGCGGCTCTCAAGCCCTAGCAGGCCTATGGCAAAATGCATATTTTACCCTGACCCCCATCTCGGATTCTCATTTCGTTGTCTGAGGTTTTCATTAAGCATACCAGTGATTCTAGTAGGTGTGGTCAGGGTACCTTTGAGAAAGATGTTCAAGGTAAGCAAATGAAATCTCAGTAGCTCATGGGTCTACAAACCTTTGCCATAGACTTGTTGCTAACAATGATTTAGAGTTATGCCATGTCAGAACTATGACTTCGTATACTCAACAGGGATTATTTCTGTTTCCCGCTCAACATAATGAAAGCCCTTTAAATCAGTGTGGTTTTGGGGGCAGGGGTTGGGGAACAGGAGAAAAAGTTAAGGTAGAGGGGGCAGTTAAAAACAATGCAATGAAAACATTTTTATTTTCTGAATTAAGGAGGTACTAAATAAATAGATTCATGGTACCAATTAGCAGGACTGGAACTAACAGTATATGGTAATTATATAAACAGTTCCTTGGCATTCATTTGGGGACAGATGCTGTTATATCCCCTTTTCCTCCTTTATTAAGACAACACATGTTTTTAGCATATCAAAAATACAGAAAAATGTAGAGAAGATTATAAAAATCACCATTAATATCACAACTGAAATAACAGCTGCTTGTTATTTGTGAACTGGTTGACATAATGTTCACAGTTTGAAAATTGGCCAAGGTGGGAGTAATTACACCACAGAAATAGGCAAATGCTGTAAACCAGCTCCTTACTTATACCCCAGATTCAGAAGTTCAACTTTTACTAGCAAAGCAATGAGCCCATCTGACATATACATTTCCCCCCAAATTTAGATAATGCTACAATGTAGTTTTGGGATTGCAAGTGTGTATCTGACAAAGAATTTTCTGAGTTATCTTGGGAAATTAATGGGCTGATCCCTTTTTCATATTGTGTAGGGGGAGCAAGGACCCCAAGGCTTTCCAGGGCCAAAGGGCTTGACAGGCCGTGGCCTCCCTGGCCAAAAGGTAAGTTATTTTAGGACCTTAGAAAGATGCTTAGGTTTAGGATCTCAATAGCTTCACGTGAGCTTTGGGAGAGCTCTCATATCCTTATAGCTCTTGGAGGAAAAAAATCCATTTGGAAGCAAATCCTTATGGATTTCCTTTCCTAACTATAAACATGCTTAATTTATAAATCTTGTTTTCTTCATCCTTGAAAGCCAGCTGCTAAAGGAGTGAATCCTTACAACATACCCTGTAAAAGACACCAGATAACTGCTCTAAAATTTTATAATAGTTGAACTTCCTGAAGACAGTGAGCTGTTCTGATCGTATCTCAAGGTCTCCTCACCTTGAGATCTCTGGTTCATCATGAATTAGATCATGGTACCTGGGGGGAATGTAAATATAATGACCCCCATTTTTTTCCCATAGTATATTTGTGTCAACCAGAACCACAGGTCTTCAAGAGATACCACTGGGAAATTAATTAAATTTTAGAGTTTTTCTTATTTGGCTTCAATATTTACATTCTAAACTTCTCTTTTCACTATATTCTAAAGGGAGAGCATGGAGAACAGGGTGCTATGGGAAAGAAAGGCGGTAAAGGGGAAATTGGAGAGCCTGGATCCCCAGGAAGACAGGCAAGGAGTGATTTTTAAAGTCTTACTGTAATTTTATACATTAACTACTTCCAGCCTATATTGACTGTTACTCTTCTTCCCCTAAGTAGGGGTTACAAGGACCAAAGGGAGACGTAGGACTTACAGTGAGTATCCATCCTAGAGGGTAATTGAGGGTTTGTGCTTGCAAAATTATTCCATTCATGTTTTGCTTCAGAAGAATGAATTCTTTTGACACAGAGTTCCAGCTGCTATTTAATGATAGCACTGCTAGAAGCCCAGTGTTGACTTAGATGCATGAGGTAATTGATCTGAGCATGAGGGAGAAAAAACACCAGGCAGCCCTCACCCAGCCTTGTGGTGGTGTGTGACACTCCCCTGTGACCCCTGGCAGACAGGGTAACAAGGAGGTGAGCTGTTTAAACAAGCGAAATGTCCAAATGACTTCTACTTTACACGATCCTTCACATTTCCAAATGGGGCATTCGGTTTCCTTGAAGTAGATCCTTTAGGAAGTGCTCTGAGGAGAATAGTCATCACAAAATGGAGATTACTTGAATGTACTAGTTCACTTATTCAACAAAACTTGTGAGGCATTGGCAAACTTTTCCCTATGTTCCCTACACTGTTGCAAACAAAAAGCTGAAACTCTTCAAAGTCTCACAGGGTAGGAAAGTTCTAGAATTTCTATAGCAATGTCTATTTCTTCCTTTCTCGTTGGAAGGCACTACATCTTCTGGAGTGGAGAAGCAATGGGAACCTTCTCTTTTATCCTCCTTCGGATTTTTCAGTGGGTCATTGTCTGGGGATGCTGACCCTATGTGCTGTGCTGAGCAAATCCAGGCGTAAGGGGTGGGAGTTCAGGTGGTGAAGGTGAGACATGAGAGCTGAGCATGTGACAAACAGAACACACACTTTTTTATGGCCTGTTTGCCTTTTCCTCTTCATTCTTCCTCACCACAAGTCAGATAGCCCCCCAGATGCCTATGGCGTATGAAAGAGCTACATACACATCAATTTCTCCCCCAAAGTAGCAGGAAGAGTATCTGTAAAATGCCCGGAGGAACAATCCCCATAGGTTTATACCCTCCCTCCTATCCCAGTATGTGGAAAGGGCCTGCCTTCCTTCATCCATTCATCTGTTCACTCATTTCACCAACATTTATTGAGTACGTATTCTGGGTCAGGCTCTGAGATAGGCAGGGGAGCAGTAGAGATTAAGAGACTATGTCTGTGGACTCAAGGAGCTCATAGCCCATTAGAAAGAAAGACAAGCAAAGGATGTTCACCTGTCATTTGATAAATGCTATGATAGATGTAGATAATGTGGATCGAGAGCAGACAAAAGGATGTCCGATGATGTTTGGGCCCACATTAGGCTTTAATTGCTTGAGCAGAAGATTTTTTTTTTTTTTTTTATTCATGAGAGACAGAGCGAGAGAGAAAGGCAGAGGGAGAAGCAGACTCCCAAGGAGCAGGGATCCTGATGCGGGACTCGATCCCAGGACCCTGAGATCACGACCTGAGCCGAAGGCAGACGCTCAACCATCTGAGCCACCCAGGCGCCCGAGCAGAAGATTTTTAGCCAAGAGGCAGAGATCTTAGAAATGAGGATGTCGTTCTACCGACCTTGGCTTTCTAGATTCTAGAAGAGGGACTAGCAGGGAAGGATGACTGAAGGAAGAGCGAATTTGCCTGCAATGAGAATCTAGTCTGTGACTGGTCCTGCGTTAGGCTCCTTCACCTCTGGTGCTCCTTCACCTTACCTAGTACTGCAGGGTGCCTGAGGGCTCATGTTTTAGAGCCCCCACACAGGACCTATAGTGCTTCTTCAGCCGCACCCCTTCCCCTGGGTGAGAGTCCTCAGAGTCGAGGAGAGTGAGCACCCTGAGCACACGCCCGCTCTGTTCTACACACTGGATACACAGGATCCCCAAATTGCCTGCCTAAATGGCCCATTTAGAAAGCTGACAGCACTGGCCTGTATGCATGGGTCCCCCCAGAGGGTGGGCAAGGGGCAAGTGTTCTCAGGGAATTTGGACAGAGTTTAGAAGTAAAGACTTCACGCCATGAATGCTGGCCCAAGCCCCGTGCAGTGTAGAAATGGTGGGGACGGGGTGCAACGAGAAAGGGACAGGCTGCAGACCACAGCCCTCCCTTGCCCAAGAGTCCATGTTAATCTACAGGATAGCTCCATGAGGTAGGTACTATTATCTCTACTTCCATGAAAGACATGCTAAGTCAGAAAAGTCTGGGCAATATGCCTGAAGTAGCAGAGCCCTTGTAGCTGGAGTTGGCTTGTCTGCTGCCAAATCCAGGCAGCTCCCCCATAAATGCTGTTCTTAGAAGGCCTCTTCCCTCTCCCCACCCATGTTCTCTCCCTGATCAAATATATCCCCAAGCAGCTGTCAGTTGTAGATTCATTCCAGACTAGCAAACTACTCTTTTAAGAGGCAAATACCATTGACAGACTTCAGTGTCATAAGAATTCATGCCAAATTGCTTCAAAAAGACTGTTCTTCCACCCGTACCTAACATGTTAGCATTTCTCAGTGTCTGCCCTCAGTCTTCTTTCTCCTGGTCTTCCAACTCTGAGGCAGGGACAGCCATGAAAGGAAGGGGGGATGGACAGTTTGAAAAGGCTAGTTTGATATCATAGCTAAATTGTATGGAGAGTGACAACATACTGTCTTCATGTTATAAACATGCAAAAGAATATGTTTAACCAGTGGAGGTGAGGGGACACACTGGATTAAAACAGACTGGAAAGCTCTGCTCTAGGAAATCTCATCTGCCATCGCTCTTTCCACAGCCAGCTGTACGCTGGCCTTCCTTAAATCTGCCTCTAGTTTGCACTGCTCTCTTGAGCACCAGACCTTACGTCTAACTGCCTACTGGACATCCCCAGCTGGATGTCCCATCGATGCATCAGACTCAGCCATGCTCAAGCGGAGCCCAGTGATCTTCACTAGCCCCCACCCTGCTCCTATTCCATTCCTCCCTAATCTCAGAGAGTGGGCCAACGTCATTTGCCTCCTCTGAGACTCTTTCCTCACCCTTCCTTCCAATTACCCACCAACCCCTTCATTTTCCCTCGGATAGTTCCCTCTAGACCAATCCTTCCTCCTTATCACTGCCACCACTGCTTTCTGGTGTCACTTCCCCCCGCCCCGAACTATTTAGGAACCTCAAACCCCTCCATTGGCTGCCATGATCACCTTTCTAAAATAAAAGCATGATCAGATCTCTTCTCTGCTTAGGGACCATGCGTCTTCTCACTGCCCACGATAAAGTTCACACTCTTCAACATGACACAAAGACCTTCTAGAGTTCATCTGTCTTACACATTTCCTGTCATTCTCTCTGCCACGTACCCTGTGTCGTAAGTTTACTCAAGTACTGTAAGGCACTGTGTTTGTGTACTTTGTCCCCTGCCTGGAATGCTTCTCCCATTCTCCCTCTTTCCTCCCCTTCTCCCTCTTTCCTCCCCAAGCTGCTCGTAATCCACCTTCTTGGTCTGCAGCCCCACCCTCAGGCTCCCACCTCTGGAATTCCCAGCAGACCCGTGTGGTTCCTTGACTCCAATCCAATAGCACAGCACTTACAAAAGTATTTATTTGTCTACTGCTTACTAGACTATGAATCTTTTGATAGGTATAAATTCGATGCCTTCATCATTGGCAAAAATAGCCAAAGTAGTCATTGAGCAATTTGAGTGGAAAAAATAAAACTATTTTAGTCAAGCAAAAGCAAAGAAGAGGAGGAAAAGATTGATATATGTGAGTACCTAAAGCTTTTTAGACCTGGTTAGACCATAAAAGCACATTAAGAAGAATTTAAATGCAACTTTGATATAAAAATTATTCTTACAAGTCAATGAAAGATAAACATCTTAATAGAAAAAATAGACAAAGGACATACAAAGGACTTGCACAAGGGGATACAGCTTGGAAACATGCATATGAAATAAAATTTAGCCTCACTAAGAATTGCATAAGTATAATTTAAAACAATGTGATATCTTGTTCTATCAAATGGCAGAGATTATGTAAAAATAATAACCAGTATTATGTGTCTAAAATAAAATAGGTTTTCTTATACGCTGCTGTTAGAGGTGTCAGTTACAACCTTTCTGAAGGTCACTTTGGCAATATGCATCAAGAGCCTTAAAATGGCCATGCATCTGACTTCAGTAATCAAGTTTTTCAGAATACTTAATAATATGGGAAATTAAGTATGATATAATGTTAAGTGAAAAACTACACTTGATCTTAGCCAAAAGGCCGAGAAGCGATGTTAAGTGAAAAACTGTAATAAACTTGGTGTCTAGTATTTTCTCCACTTGTAAAAAATTAAACATAAATATATAAATATATTTCCCCTTCCTAAAAACACAATGTAAATATATAAATATATGCATTTTCCCTTTCTAGACACATCCTAGTTTCAGATTAAATGCCTCTCTAAATGTGGAAAAACATGACAAGGCCCCCCCCCAAAAAGATGACTATTGACTTCCTCATTTTATATAATTGTATTAATATTGTATTGGGAGTTCTTTTTAAATAGCCACTTGGAATCACTGGCTTTTACTCAATTTACAAAAAAATACAATTAAATTAAAATGCTCTGAATATTTTCCATACATGTTTCTGTTAAGTCCCATCACCAGCGATGTCATCTTTACCCCAATTCTGTCATTGTGAATTTTTTCTTTAAAACTTTCCTTTTACAACTGTTAAATTTTATCTTCTCAGATCTTCTTAGTTTTGCCTCCTTCCCGTTGAGATTTTCTGAGCTTCTATTAATAAAGTTCATCATTCCCATCAGCTTCCTGTCTCGGGCAAATACAGAATTCTGTTTTCCATTGTCCCATCCCAGTTATTTGTAAACGTGCTACTCAGGGCAGGGCGTTGGCACATTCACTCCCCATCCCCACCTCACCCTGGGCTCCTCTGCTGGAGCTGATGGCAGCAGGACCAGGAAGGAGCATTCAGGAACATGGGGACATTTCATGGAAGTGCCGAAGTGAGAGTATCAGGAACCTGGGGAGGGGACTTGCAAAACTGGACCGTGGTAGAGAAAAGGAGGGAATACAGCATAGAATGAATTCTCTTTTGGCCCTGGTACTTGTCTTGGTTGCTCAGCACATGTGGGTTAAGTTGTGTAACTGATGGCATGCATCACCCACACCTTTATAAGTTATACTTTATGGAGTTGGGCCCTATCCTAAGAGTTCTGTGTGCGTAGCCTCATTTGACCTGCACCCCAGCCCTGAGACACAGATACCGTTAGGTCATCTAATGCCCAAGGTCACACAGCCGATAAATGCTGGAGCTGCAATTGTGAACTCTAGAAGTCCGAGCTCTGACATTTCACAACTCAAACACATTTCAGTTATGATATATTCTAGCCACCTTTTAACCCCTGTGCCATTTATTTTCTTCAGCTGAAGAATAAAAGCAAACGGCTCCAAGCTGATTGTAATAAGACACAGCTTTTATGATGATAGGAAAAAAATATTATGGTCATATAATTAATACATTTCCCTTTTGTCCTTCAGAGAGAAGAAATTATCAAAATTATTTTTGAAATATGTGGTAAGATTTGACCATCAAGAAAAAAAAACCATCCCTTCAAAGTACCACAGCCACTATGTTCTGTGTTGGTCAAGATAAATGTGATCACCCAGAGATATACGGGAGAAAGCTCATGAGAAAGTTTGAAGCTCGTTTGGAAAGTCAATGGGAAACTGAAAGATGCAGAGAGAGGGGCTGTGGGAATCCTGATTTAAAAAAAGAAATCATCTTCCCAGGGTTCTTAAGAGGAATGAAGACACTGGCCCTGGAGTCTATGGGCAGGCAGGCCTTTTGTGAGCACAGAGCTCATTTGTATTCAGTGACATTTACCTGAGCTTGGGAAGGGAAAAAACAACAAAGGAAGTATGACCACAGGGGCCTAACTGGCATTTGAATCCAGCCTGGCTGGTGATTAGAATGTCTGTGTTTTTCCTGAAGCAAGAAGTCTTTCTGAATTGAGTTTTGAGCAGGATTTCTAGAGTGCATTTCATTTCAAAGACAGGAGGACACTGTCAGTCATCGTGCTTCATAGCTCTATCTAAATGCTTCTATGGCTAAATACGTTAAACTTAAAATAGACTTAGCAGAAAGAGGAAGAAAAGAGATTAGCCAAAAGGCAAGAGATTAATAAAATAATGGAGATAAGAGAAACGTGGCAGAAATGTCATTGTTCTTCCATACAGGGAACCCCTGAACTGGCTTGTCCCCCAAAAGACCTCTGGATGTTAAGAACCCAGCTGGGACTCTGTATGGTGACAGGCCAATTTAGATGGGGCTTCGGAGTTCTAGAAGCCCGGCAAAAATAGCACCCAGTTTCCTCATATTTTTTGTGGTAGGGCTGTTGGGTAACATGAGGATATGAATAAACCAACGGAGCCCTGATAAGTCTTATTTCCTGGTAACTCTAATGATTGCTTTGAATGATAAACCCTAAACCGAAGTTGTTTATTACCAGCATTCTGAGATCGTTCTCCTGAAGAGGTATCATAGTATGGACGGACTGCTGGCCTCCCTGAGCCACCTTTGTCCTCATTGTGAGCGACTGGGGACACAAACTAGAGTCTGGGGCAGCTGTTCTTCTGTACAGTTACGGGCCCTAATCCTTTCCCCACAATTAACCATTTTCGATCCATCACTTTACCCAATTGTCATGCTAATGAGGAAATATCAGTTGTCACATAAGGATATGGTGGAAGACTAGAAGATTAGCTTTCAGATTCAGATTAAATAGAAATGCTGGAAGGATAAAGAGCAAATTGAGGCTAGGGTTATCTTTTAGGGAGAGGGAGAGGAATGTAATCAGGAAGGGACACACAGGGATGCAGACTCTTCTAAAAATACATATTTTTTAATCTGAGAAATTGGCACATAGGTGTGTCCTCTACAGTGCTTTGGTGGTTTTTTTGTGTGTGGGGGTGGGGGAGGTTGTTTTTGCAGTATATTATTTTCTAAAAAGTCAGATATAGAAACCAGAAGGGGGACAGCTGTTAGCTGTTAACACTCCCAGAAAGGGAAGGTAACGATCCAGGTCTCTGGTGGTTCGCTGCCCCTCTCTCAAACCACTCTAGTGCCAATCAGTGATGTTCTGATTTTCATTCATGCAATGTTTCTATCTCAACATTCATCTTTTAGGGTGTGGGCCCAAATGCAAAGAGACTCCTCTAGAACTGCTGTTTGTGATTGACAGCTCCGAAAGTGTAGGGCCAGAGAACTTTGAGATCATCAAAAGTCTCGTGAAGACTCTGTCCGACCAGGTTGCTCTGGACCTCACTACGGCCCGCATAGGCATAATCAACTACAGCCATAAGGTGGAGAAAGTTGCTCATCTGACTCAGTTCTCCAACAAGGACGACTTCAAGTTGGCTGTGGACAACATGCAGTACCTGGGGGAAGGCACTTACACAGCCTCAGCGCTCCATGAGGCCAACCACATGTTTGAAGCCGCACGGCCGGGTGTAAAGAAGGTGGCCTTGGTCATCACTGATGGGCAGACTGATACCCGAGATGAGAAGAATCTGACGGAAGTGGTGAAGAAAGCCAGTGACATCAATGTGGAAGTATTTGTGATTGGGGTAGTGAAGAAAAATGACCCCAACTTCGAAATGTTCCACAAAGAAATGAATCTCATTGCTACTGACCCAGATAGCGAGCACGTTTATCAATTTGATGACTTCGTTACCCTGCAAGGTAAGCCTCAGCGCCAGGGGAAAGGAATTTATGTTATTCTTCCAAGTACTGCATCAATGGATTATCCTGACCGAAAATGGAAATCAGGAGGAGGCTAATGAGGCTTACGCCAACACTAAATTGAACACATAAACCCCAGAAGGCAAAAAACATTTAGCATCCATCCAGTTTAGAGAGTATAATCTCTTGTCTTTATTCATTTGGAATAAGTGCTGAGTTGGCCTTGGAGTTGATTAACTGGGCTATCTAAGGTCGAGGACATGGTTGAAAAGAAAGAGTAGAATCTGGGGTATTGCTAAGCCTAGTTAATGTTCAAAAAGTGACCTAACCTGCATAAGAGATGCAGGAAACCAGCAGCAAGGCCGAAAAGAACCATGGAATCAAAGTGAATTAAGAAGTGTATGAGGAATGAAAAAAAGTTATGGTAATCTAGAGAGATGAGAAACACAAGTAACGGGGATAATTCTCATTTCTCTTCTATTCTCCATTTACTGCTCTTATAGACTATGAAACTAAGGAAGAGTAAACAGGTTAATGTGGGGAGTTTATCTTAAAGTTCCACATTGTGCCTATTCTTCCTACAGTCAGTGCTAATCTGGTGGGTTTCCCTTTGCTACTTTGCCCTGTCACACGAACTGATGTTTCCCAGAGAGGCATTCTAAGACACTGACACATCTGTGATTAGAATGTGGTCAGTACTGCTTCTCAGTGAAACATGTTCCAATTCTTTGGCAACTGAGAACTCATTGTGGCAGGAGTCACATCCAGGGAGCTTGTGAAGTAGGTGAAACGTATGCTTCACGTGTTTGCAGGCTTCCATTTGGCTCCATCATTCCTTGTCCATCCTTCTGGGAGCGGGCGCTGACATGGCCTAGCACAGCCTCTCCTTGCCCTCATGCTGCTCCCTGCCTACTCTGGCTGCCAGCCCGGCTTGCCTGAAGGGTAGCATGCCCTGCCCAGAACCTTCCCACTTTCTATTTCCCCTTTCTCCAGGCCTTTCTTCTGGGGTTTCATTTCCTGAACACCCCGCAGGATGACTGGTGGCCTTATCGGACAAAGTGTATCTCACTGGGCTGTTACTGTGTTAGAATGGCCAGAAATATTACACAATTCAGAGACATTATACTTTAATAACTAAAGAGCTTTATCATCTTTTAACCAAAGGAGTTAATAATTCATTCCAGCTAATGAGGGATATATTTTTGGACTGGCTGGCCTTTTGCTCTCTCGGGAACCACAGGTAACTGCCCATTATACTCCTTATGGGTGGGGACCCGCCCCTTCCACAGAGTAGTTTAGTTAACTGATGCTTTGGATAGCAAGGATTTAATTGATTCTTTTGCCTCCATAGGCTGTTGTACACTATTAAGTCAAACTGAATTATTTTAGATGGCTTCTTCTAGATGATCTCCAAAATGCTTTAAAACTTAGTTCACCGAGCAGTTGACCTCAAGCGATGGGAAAGTGTCTGTTTATTTTAAGGAGAGCATGGAAGATCTCTTTAAACAGGTTTTGCCCCTACTATTCCCCTTTTCTACTTTTCTTTTAAAAGACACCCTGAAGCAAAAATTGTTTAAAAAAACATGTGAGGATTTTGATTCCTACCTCATTCAAATTTTGGGTTCACCGCCACTTCAACCTGGATTTGGGATATCAGGGGAAGAACTTGGTGAATCCACGCCAGAGCCTCAGAAAGAAATTTCGGAGTCTGTAAGTAACTGTCTTGCTTAATTTATGAGCTTAAAATTGTGTATTCTGTCTTATGTCAAAGACCGTCTTGGCCTGCACTGTCAAGAACCAACTGAAAGAAGTGTATTTTCAAGTCCTTGGCTATAAATAGTAGTACTTTTGTCTTCAGATTTCTAGTTCTGAAATAGCTCTGGGGCTTGTGAGCATGAATATGAGATTTTTCAATATTTCCATATTTTATAAGTAATTCTTTATTGAACGTTGCAAATAATACTTTTATAGTAGGCCCCAGCTACCACCAAAGGAATTCTGTACACTGGAACGGATTAACACAACACTATTTGAATCACTCACTTGCCATGCTCTACAGATCCTTTCATACAAGGTCACAACTCCCCCTCATCCATCTGGGTACATGCTCCCCACTTTGCACCCTCTCAAGTTTCTTCCAAGTGTGCACATGCTCAACCTGCCATTTTCCATATTCCAAGCCATGTTCTTGCTCATTTAGCTTCCACCTCCTGTGCTCAGGGTGGAGACAGGCTGGGAGGCTATGCACGCATATGGTACAAGGTGGATGCTCTGTTTCAGAGCTCCTCAAATACACGTGCATGAGGGAACTGCCTCCCGAATGTGTTAAGACAAATGTGACTATCCTCATAGCAAGCTTCTGGGCACTGACCTCAGATCAAGAGCAACAACTATTAGGTTCTTTTAGGTGAAAATGGGAAAGCCTCCCATAATTACTGGTAAGGGAGTGCTGTGGTCTCTTCCCCACCAAGTTACAAGCCAAGCAGGTCTAGACTGATCTCTACTACACATATGGACATCCTCTGGCAAGCAGGCACACAGGAGCTGTGCCCTTTTTCTGTAAGTTGTGCCCTTTCCCCGAGGAAGCCCTGTGCTGTCCTTTTATGAAAGAACATGAAAGATTCATTATGAGCAAGTGCAACAATAGTCTTGCATCAGGATTCAGTTAACTGTCTAGTTGGACTAAGGCCCTGAGAAACCTCCAGATCAGTAGTTGGACCCAGGACCATTCAGGAATCAGGCCTAGGTTGCCATTCCTACGGGGATAGACCGTAGGACTCACTGGATTTTTATATTCCGTTCAGAAAAGGGTAGTAAAGCCTCTAATATATTTTTATTTGATTAAATACTGACTGACTCCAAGATGGGTAATTCCAATTAGAGCAACAGAGTGCCCCTGGATTGTAGATTGAAATTCACCTGTACATTTTTACTACATGGTCTGTATCAGGGGTCAACAAACTCTTTCTGTAAAGGCCACATAGTACTTTTTTTTTTTTTTTGGTTTTGCAGATCATTTGATCTCTGTTGCAATAGTTCAGCTCTGCCTTTGAAGTGTAAAATCAGCCACAGCCAACACTTACCTGAACAAACATGGCTACATTCCGATAAAACTTGTTTCTAAAAACAGATGAAAGCTTGCATTTGGCCCATGGGGTTTGCTGATCCTGGTCTTCACTGAGCATTTAAAAGTAAATTACAGACAGTAGAGTACACAGTTTATCTCCTCCAGAGCATGGAGTGCTCCGGGGGCCTTGCCTGCCTGTGTGACTTATCACTCTGTCCCTCTCCTACTCAATCCGTCCCTTCCTGAAGATTTCCTAGACAAGAGCAAACTCAGGTTTCATCTGGCAAGTGGCACTTAAACTCTGAGCTCTCCCTATAATCAGTGCATTCCATACTACGTACTGATCATTTACTGCCATACTAGGGAGTGGCTCTTATGACAGAGTTCCTGTCCAGGGGAAGTCCATGGCCTCTCAGGAAGATGGATGCATACAAGAATTAAGAACTTTAACAGCTGTGGATGAAGCACAAGAGATATTGCAGTTAATTTCAGAGTCAAGGAAGGCTTTACAGGAGAGATGGCAATGAGCTAAATTTTAAAAATAAGTAGGAGTTTGTCATGACAAGAGTAAGGGGAAAGGTATTTCCAGCAGAGGGAACGTGTGGCCAAAAGGGGATTCCACAAGGCACGGCATTTCAAGACATTGGGAAAAGTTCAGTCTGGTTGGAGCCTAAGGTATGTGTAGCAGGACGGGGAATGCTACAGCTGGACAGACAGTCACATGCTTCATGGGTCAAGTGAAGGAGCTTGAACTTCATGTGTAAGCCATGCAGCGAGGAGAAAGCAGAGGAGTTTGTAAAGCAAGGGTCATATGGTCATGTTTGGTTTGTGGGAGGAATAACCCTGTTGCGGTACAAAGGATAAATAGGAGGAGAACAGGAGACTGGGGCCAAGCTGTGAAGTCTTGCAATAGTCTGGGCGGTCAGAATGAAAGCAGGCGTGGACTGGAAGCCATTTCTGGGGTAGAATGAACAGGATTTAGTGACTGGATGGTTCGAAGTTTAGGGTTAGCCTAAGATTAGCCAGCTGGGTTTCTAACTCGGATTTGGAGTGAACTGAAACACTGTCTGCTGAGATGGAGACTAGAGGAGGCAGGGTGGGGGGTTTTGAAGGAAAATACTGAGCTTGCTTTGCACCAGGTCAAGCAGAAGTGCCTGAGGGACCTCCAAGGCACTTAGGACACGGAATGAGGAATAGCATTGTCTCTGGTATCATGGCACAGGAAGCGAGAAGGCGCTGAGAGACGAGCGATGTGAACAGATTATGAATGATGGAGCATTCTGGGAGCTATGGGGGGGAGGGCGTAAGAAAAGTACATCCAAAATAGTTTGGATTTCGAACACCAAGAGCCATATAGAAGGAAACTGAGCCTCAGCTAGGTCTCATCGGGTGCCCCTGAGATAGCAAAGCATGCAATGGACTCGAGCTTCCTGGATAGTCCTCATCTCTAGACCTTCTCACGCTGGCTCTCTTTGCAGAAGCACCAAGGCAAGACTGAATTTTAAACAATGAGTGTTCCTGATAGGTTTTAGTCTGAACAAACATATATGCATTGATATTCACAGTTATCTCTGTCATATGTATATGAAAGCATACTTACATACCCACCCTTTATCTAAAAGTATATATACAGTATCCAGACTTGTAAAGTGAATCTGTCCAAACTTTTCAATTCTCAGATTTTCCCCAAGCCTGCCCTAGGCAATACTACAAAACAAACCATCTCAGAAGTCCTATTTCCCTTACTGTGTCTCTTTCCTTTCTCTGTTGCCTCTATCACTCCTTACAGCATCTAATGCTACCTTCCTTCTTTCTCTTCTTTCTATTGAAATCTGTTCTTAGAGAAAAATCTAGTCATTTATACTTTTGTGTGAAATCTAAGTCAAAGGGTTTCCACCTCCAAGAAAGACTTACATATTAAGCATTTTATCTTATTGTGGAATGAACTTGAGGTACACTCAACATCTGTGCACAGGTGTGTTGGGAAATGCAGAGAGCAGACGGATTTCCCAGGTTCTAGTAAATTCATAACTCCTCGGTAACCCCCTGCTCTGTTGCTCTTTCGGGCCAGTCTTGGGAAGCTAAACATGCACATCCATTCTACTCTGTTCCTCTCCTGAAATCACAGGATCATTTATACTTGCTTTGGAATGTGTTACATTTTACATTGTTAATAATTTATGTATATACCTCAACTCTCCTAATGGATTTAAATTCCTTGAGAACATGATCTGTGTCTGATTAAGTTTTGTGTCCCACTCATGACTTAAAAATGTGCTTCATCTTTCACACAGTAGATGCTCAATAAATACTTAGTGACCAAATGAATGCTATACCAAATGTTAGGCTAAAAAAGAAACCTAAAATTTTTCTTCAATGAAAGGCATCAATTATACTGTTTAAAAAAAATCCTTACCTTTTATGGGACTAATAATGTTGGCACTCACGTTCCTGTATTCTTTCTGGGTTTAGCCAGTTAGGTTAAGATTTCCAAGATATAAATGGGAGTGGGGCAATAAAATCAAGTAAATATCACTTAGTCAGACTAACTGGTTATATCCAGTAATGGTCCATTAAGCAAATAAGCATATTAATTTCCTGCATGAAATAACATTTTGTCATTCTAAATACATTAATAAAGTCATGTCAGCACACAGGTGGCTTATTCGCCGGAACTGGTTTCTTGTAACAATATTCTAGGGGTTTTTTTCCAGTTGAAAGAGTAGAAAAGAAAGAGGCCCTGTCTACCATATCCATAAAGCTTCTTTTTGTATTATGAAAATTTGTTCCCTGATTGCAAATAACTTAGATAACTGGCAGCAGAGATATATTCCTCTTGGTGGAAAGGAGGCTGTGGGATTTCTAGGCAGAGTGATTCCACAACAAGCCAGTGAAGGGCAGAGTCAAGCTAGCATGGGAAGGGTCCCTGTGGGTAGTTCTGCACCAGGTGGAGACATGCAGTGGAGGAAGTGGTAAGTTGTGAGCCTTCTCCTTGCCTTTGTTATCCCGGGACATGTAGTCCAATGCTAGGATGCCGGCCCCTCATTTCCATGGAGGAAATGTACACCTTATTGATGTAAATGTCAGGAAACGAATACAGCAGGCTGACTGCTGGCTGTCCCACCCTCTCTTTGTCCACCTTCTCATTTAGTGTGACCCTGTCCCTGGACCCCATGCCACCTGCCTCATTTCTCCCCTCCTATCATTATCACACAGCTGCTCCAAGGTCTCCATCTCATTGTCACTCTTGCTGGCTCTCCCATGTCTCACCCTCCTTTCCCTGCAATATTTATTCATTCTTACTTCACCCCGAGATCCGTCTAGAGAAGGCCACTTCTGAAATGGGCTCCCCTGGCAATTTTTAAAAAACTAGAGCCCTGGGCAGGTTCTGACTTCATACTGGAATTGGATGTGTCCCTTGTGTCCCTTCATCCTAAAACATGACCTTAGGCTCTATCCTCAATTCTGATGTGATACCTTTTCGTCTCCCGCCTCTGCTCTGAGGCCCATTCCCTTCTGCCTCTTCCAAAACTTGGACCTTGCTTTACTGTAGTGCCATTATTTCCTTTCCTGCCAATATTTCTGACTCCTTCCCTATAGCTAGTAAATAGGCTTCAGACTCTCCCATCTAAAAAAATCCTCA